CTGATAGGGTGAGCGTGCCATTACTGCTCCAGCTTTTCGGCTTAGCGCCAATATTCCAAACATGCATCGAAATAAAATTTGGGAAAGAATGTAAAATATTGAAATTTAAGATAATTTTAAGATAGTGCCAATTAGAGGAACACCGAATAAAAATGTGTCTGATCGATATCAACAATTAAAAAGAGTGGATCAACCATTTCCAAACAATGGCTTTAAACGGAAATTTTGCGAGAATCAAAACACACCAACGACAACTAGCAATACCATTCAATAAAGAAAGTTTCCTCTATCAGATGCTGGTACTAGATTGTGTTAATTTATTTTGATTCTCGATACAAGTGAATTTCAAGCCATTGTTTACAAACGATGAAGTAATATCGTCAACGGCATGAGCTTCAAATGCATTTCCATCGCTTTGTGCTCGATATTCTCATGATTAAATTGATTTATCACATAAAAGCCTGAATTTATCCATCTGTGGTTATTATTATTATTAATATATTTCGTATTGAGGTCCCCAACAACTGTGCCAAATTTGAACGAATTTGGTTAGGGGTTGTTCAACTACGTAGACAGTTTAGGGGGGGGGGGGTGGCAATTATACACGGCCAATACAAATTTTAAATTTTTTGTATGTACAATTGTCTACGCAGGGGGAGGAGGTCAAGAATCCCAAAAACTTGTCCCAACCCTGTTCAATTACTTGTCAAACATTAAACAATCCCTCAACTTTTACCAAAGCTTGAGAAAACTATACAGAACAACTTCTTCGAATACCGAAAATCGATTCAACTTCTGTCCAAAAAGTTATTATTATTTATTTATGGACATGTGCTCCTACAATACCTACTGGCATGCATATAAGCTTGTAGGTATAGGCGAAACACTAGGCCAACAGTAAAAACATGATAAAAGTCGAATCGATTTGCGATCTTCTACGAAGTATGAAATATGTAATATAATTCCCAGATTTGGTAAAAATTTAGCGATTTTTGAAATTTTGACAAACAAATTAATAGCTTTGTTCCGTTTCCCATACATTTTCCCATACGAACTTTAAATCTCTCCCGCTGAGGACTCCAATACGAACCAAAAGAGCTGGGGGAGCCGCGGTAGTGACCCCCCATATTGAAATGACCCGCCCTAATGGTGATATCTGACCCTTTTTACTAAATTAAATTTTGAGTCACTTCCTAGGTGGTATCCGGAATATGTCTGGGAGTTGGCCAATGTTGACTGGGAGTTGGCCAATATGACCATCAATTACCTTGTTTTAGAGTTTTCATCAAATTATATGCGTCGCATGATTTCTGTTAGCTCTCGTTTGAAACTGGCCACTCCCCCGGGGGTGGATTCGGAGGTAACCAGAGTAGTCTCCCATTTCGAGCAGGGTCTTTTTTTAATACTCTATGTATCTCATAATGAGGTTTTGTGAAGTGAGGAACTGACCACTTCCCCAGAGGTAATCGTAACATGGCTGAATGTGTCCAATGTGGTTCTAGGCACTCGGTATGACCACCGAGGAAGATGTTGTTGAATTCATCATACACACTGACATTTTCCGATCTCATCAAGCTGAACGAATAGGTAAGTAACATGATGAACCTAACAACGGCTAAAATTGTATCTAACTTTTTGACGGAAATAATAATAAAAGTAAAATAACAGACTTAAACATGCACTTGTTTCTTCCCAGTATCTTTATCGAAGACTAAATAAAAGATGAATTTTCAAAAAGACGTATGTTAGATTGTGTGGGCAAGCTAAGAATTTCCAAAAATTGACGATTGCATATTTCTTTACAAAATCAGATACGTCCTTTTGAAAACTCATCCTTTAAATTTGTCTACAATGAGGCATTTTGTGAAATCTTATACGATAAGGTTTTAAACATAGTATAAGCTACTCTCTTCAATCTAAATAATAGGTCTTTTATACCCACGTAAAGCCACGTTTATACCACAATTAATAACTATGCACTGCATTTCGTAAAAAAAACACTGCAAAACAAAGCAAAAAAAAATACGGTAAGCTGCCACTTTGGCAACAACAAATAGTGAAAAACACGGGCAAGCCAACAACAAAGTGCCCCTCGTAATCTACCCTAATGGTGTGAAAGCAGGCGTCAATTCGCCCAATCAAAAGTGACATTTTCTGACAGGAAAATGGTCTTATTTTTCACAAGCAGCTGTCGGGTCCTGTCCTACGTCCAATTGAGTAAATACTAAAAACACTTTCTCATTAGGTCCAGCATTATAGAGTGTCTAGCATAAGAGAGGAGTGGATTCAGAACACACTGCCTTGGCAACCTATGCTTAGGTGATTTCTAGCAACACTGTCAGTACAATCAAGATACGTACTGCTCGATTGACTGTGGCTTTGACAGTTTTTTTTCCTTGATTTTTTTTCTTTCGATCTTGTTTTCCGTTCTGAGCACCAATGCTACCGACGTCAGAGAGGCAGCTCCCACACCTGGACCCTACCTATCGACTCATCAACTCATAAATCGGGGACCAACGGCTTTACTTCCCATCTGAAGGAAGGCGTGATCAGAGATGTTATGCCTCAGAACATCCCGGAGGCGCCGACTGGGATTGAACCCAGGCCTACTGGGGTGAGAGGTTATCACGCTTACCACTACACCACCGGCGCCGCTAGCTTTGACAGTTCGTTTGTCTCAAAACCAGCCAGTCCACTCCCCTCTTATACTAGACCCTCTCTCTAGTTTGGATTATTTTCGTTTCATCAGAAACCATCATCATCAAGTATTCGCAACAATCCACTTAATTATACATAAACGCCTTTCTCCACTCACAATCATCGACACCATTCAATGTCGCCACAAAACCTTATAAGGCAAATACTTCCGGCACTTGAGAAGAGCCTCTTACACCAAAGTTAATTATAATTTAATTGAACTACGTGAATCCCTAGCACTTCCACTCCACATCAGCTGCCCATCTCCAGCAGAACCAATCAAGTATCTTGAACGAGTAACGATAGAAAAACATATCGGCTTAGCTGTCTAATCCTTCGTCCGTCGGTCCCCTTCGTGGATAGGAATAAACGCAGTCAACGGAAGCGCCATTCCACCCCAAAAACAATGCCAAACAAGACGAAATTAATTATCTGCTACCAAGGTCAAACCGGATGGCAATATGGGCCAGAGGATTAACGCAGAGAGCCCAGTCCCAGCATTTGCACGATTTTCTGCTGGGCGAAAAGAAAAATAACAATTACTGGAATTGTGCGTTGAACTGTGCAGTGGAGCTGATGCGAAACGGTAATGGCAGAAACGATCGATTTTTTCCCTGTCATAGCAATCGAAACGATTAGGATTCAACTCCATTCACGACCTATTCTTCCTAATAAGCAGCTATGGCCTATTAAATTTAACGACGTGGCCAATGGAGGAGGTCCCCCTTGAGAAGAGGATACAATGAAGGATCGTTAGAACCTCAAGTGGAAAGCCAATCGATTATTTCCACCTCAGAACGCGCCGTAGCGATTCGGTTTGAATGTTCGCTGAGTTTGTAAGAAGTTTGAACGGAATTTTAGGATTTTTCTTTTGCAAGTTATTCGATTAACTATCTAAACTTGCTAACTACATATTACACCGTTCACTTTTCACTGATGAAGCTAATTTGCATAAAGCGCAATCGATAATGGCATTGAACAGATATTCTGCACAGTATGCCATTTCAACCGCAACGAAGGGAAATGAAAGAGACAGAAAGCAATTTCCGAACCGTCAGCCGCTTTCGAAGGAGGCCTATCAGGAGGTGCTTTCAATCGACGGAGCAACTTCCGCCCACATAGAACAAAGCAACTCGTGAAAGTGGGTGAAAATTATCGGTGATTATTCCGCTTGGTGAAGACCAATAAATTGAAACATTTTGCACAAACCGTGGAAATAATTCAATTTCGTATACACTCGCAAAAATAGAACTCCATCAAGGTATCGGGCCGTCATCCCGCCGGAAACGTGCTGGTAAACGAATCGAAGAAGATTTTTTACCACCTTTTCCCCTATTGTCTGGAATATTGCGACGTGTACCCAGAGTCTCCGGAGAGACGAATCGACAATACCTCTCTGTCAACCAGAAAGCCATATCGATGTTTCCAATTCAATTTGCGTGAAAAATTTATTTAATTTTATTTCGCAGGGACATGAGTGCGTTGAGTTTTTTTTCGTCTGAAACGAACACGATAAACCATCAATACCATAGTCAATCAGCACAGTCAGATGGCGGTACGAATGTTGCGATCAAAGCAATAAGCTTAATTCAAAATAAAACACAAATGCTTTGAATGGATTCATTCAATTTGAAAGCGAAACGACAAACTGGATTTCAACGTTCGGAAATTCTGGTTGTCAAAACATGCATGGAAATCAAGGTAGAATAAAAATATGAAGATCGTGTTAAATCGAGTGGTACGAATACCCAACAGAACAGTCATATTTATCAAGTTAGTATTTCCACACCAAATGACGAATCGATCAGACTCAACTCTTCTTCGATTGGCATGAAAGTTTGCATAATTGTTTGTTATGGACAATCATTCATATTTGTTGCTGAAATTCTGCCATTTTGTATCTTGAATGTTGTTTTCAAAATAAAGTCTTTGGCATTAATTAATTAATTATTGCACCAAAACGTCTCTGATCGAAATGACGTCTGAAAAAAAGCAGAAGAGAACAATAAAGTCTTTCTAGAAAATATATGAACCGTACATTTGAAAAGTCATTTGGCCCTACAACTTTATCTCAGAAATTTCGATCAAAAGTAACGTTTTCGTACTACAATATTTTAAAAATGTCAAAACTTCATTTTGAAAAAAAATACAAGATCCAAAATGGCAAAATTTTAGAACATGTAAATGATTGCGGAGAAGATCGAGGCAATTTTTTTTTTTTGCTGTTTGGCCTGGAACTGCTTAAGTGCAGACCATCTCAATTTGTAACAACTGTCGGTTTATGAAATCAAATAAAAACTTACCCGTGGCTTTTTGGCGTACGGTCCCGTGCGTACATCGCGGATGGTGGCTATGTCGAGGAAGTACATTTCGTGATTCTGATCCACCCAGTACAGGTAGAAACCTTTGGCGTCGACACGAACTGTCACTGGCATTCCGGTGAACGTTTCCTGAAATGAAAAAAATAAGGGAATTAGTTTTGAAAAGCGATTTGAAGGTGAAAATGTTACTTAACGTTAGTATTCTATATCGAAAAGTAATAAACGATGTTCCAAAGAGCGATCCATCCCTGCTTGTGTGAGATTTGAAACTTGGAAATGTTTTCGATACATCATACATGGAAATTCAATTCAATGAGAGACAATGATGAGGAGAAATATTTGCAATCCTGGGACATAACAAGTCTGTATGTTTCTATACATACAAAACAGTTCTTGACAAACAATTGCTTTAGAATTTGAAATTTAAATGATTTTCATGCTATAAACTACCTAAAATGTAACCATTTTTATGGTCATGAACATTTTGCACTTTGGAATATTGAGATATTTTCAAAAAATCAAAATTAGAAAAATAAATATTTCCCAGGCTTAGTTCTAAATTACAATCACATACAGATGAACTAAATACAGAAACCTTAATTTAAAAAATCCTCCATTTGGAAAGCGCATAATTTAATAAAGTGGGAAAGGGTCGCCATCTTCATGGTTTGCCAAGAACGTAGAAAACCCTCACCATGACAAATTGAAAGCAAGAATCAGAAAGAAAAAGTTAATGAAAATATGCGATTATCAAATAGATTCGTACATCTATGTCAAATTAATTGAAACGTTAATTTAGTTAGGTACGACCAAGAGCATCAAACGATCTAAGCTGGGTGATGAAAAGACATACCACATAATCGAACCAATTTCAAGCTATCGAACAGAAACAAATTTTCTACTCTCCTGGTGTTTCGAAACAAATATGAGTATTACAGTTCATCAATATTTAAAATGTTAAAGCCTATCTCAAATCATTTTTATTAAAAGTGGGATGTAGCGATAATGTAAGCCACGTTTTTCATTACATTATATTACTTTAAAACTTTTTTTTTCATTAAAAATTGGTTCATTTGGCTTTTCTCTAATCATCATCGAATTTATGAACGTAAACAAGAAATTGGAAAGTCACGATTAAACTTTATACATAATACTGTTTGACACCGCTTATTCCCAGCCGATGGCGAAGAATAGCACTGCTATCATTGAAAAGAAACCATACCGCCATCATCCATACGGCGAATGAAAACAACTCAAATTTGAGTTTAGTTAACTAATAAAGAGCATAAGCATGCATTAGCATGATTGACCGCCCATGATTGCTTCTCTGTTATTGCCAGATCAGCTGTAACTACACAGAGAACCAATAGACGATGCTTGGGACTAGCACTAGCAATGTGTAAAAACTGGTGATCTCAAACTAGGCAATACCAGCGCCGGTCGTGCCCGAACACAGGTCAAGAAAGGAATGGGTAGGAATTTGTTGACGGGACACTCGTTTTAATGGAAGCCGAGAACACCTCTGCACTTCCACGAGGAATCACTGGGGTATTGGGTAAGATGGTTGGATTTGCAGCAGGGTTCGTTTTGGCTAACGATAAGCTGAATAGATATCCTAATGATCATTTAACACGAAGGAGCTTGGGATTGAACTCTTGGGATTGTCTTCTGCTCAGTAAGCAAAAATGGTTGCAACTAGCTCCTTTTATTACAACACACCAATGATCGATTTGTTGTTATTTCAATGTATTCACATTAACAAATAGCGGTTCATAAATCTTGAATGTGGAAAGGCTTGATATTAATCTCTTGATGTACTACTCAGTAAGCAAAAATGGTCACTCTAAGGCCACCAAGCCCCTCATATCACATAATACAAGCTAAGGATCGCGTTGCTATTGCAAGCATTCAAAGCCGGCCTCAAAGCTGACGTTTATGACGATGTTAAGTTGCACAAAACACACGATAATCAAGCGATGCTACTATAAGTCTCCTTAATATGATAGGACCTGGGATTTATTCAAACTCAAATTCGACGGCGGTGCCCTTTACACAATAATAAGCCTCTATGGCCGATGATCTTTTAAATCTTAATTCACAAAGTAAAGTGCAACTGACCCGACGATTTTACCAGCGTACAAATATTGCACATCTTTTAAGCTATCTCGACCAAACTCTATTGCTTTTTAAAACGACTGTTTTCTCCTTCATATTTCACCGAACCGCCCCGATTATGCGTCAAACTACCGAATCCACCAAACCACACAATCAAACACGACCCACCGTGACTACCGTCAGTCTTCAACCACGGTCCTCATGATCGTGCTAAGGACGCACCTAACAACACATCAAAAACTAATCGGTCAAGTGACAAGCTTGCATATTCGATCAAAAAAATCATAACGCATTATTAGTAGTAGTAAAAACCGGCATGCCTCACGCGATCGAGGCCATCTCTCTGGCAAATGAGAAACGATTAAAATAAATCTCGATTACTCCCTCGAAGGGACGCACCGCTGCCTGATAGTGGCACCAGCACGCGCGGTCAAACCACCAGCCAAACCAAACCGACCATCAAACGCACTGACCACAAAATGCAATCGAGAAATGTATAAGAAAAAACTTCAACTGGAACGTACTCACCAAATCAATGTTTCCGGGTGCGCATTTCCGATGTTTTCACGTATATTTTTCTCTAGTCAACCACACAATAACTAAATATCACTTATCTTTTTCAAATCACTCTGTGAAAAAAGCAATGCATATCGCAAAAACCTATCAATAGATCAGCGCGGTCGAGTCACACCGGCAACAAAGGGAAGCGAGAGCACACCAAGCACCTTAACAGCAGGGAGGAAAACATCAGCACAAACCTTTCCAAATCATCAAATATTGCTTATCAAATTTGAGCTCCGAAATACTCCACACCAGCACAAAGACAGCCCGAACCCAAAAAATAAATAAAACAAAATAAAAGCCCGAAGCGGAGCAAAAACACTACCGTTCTCGAACGATTCTCAAAGCAAACTCAGTTTAGCTAACTCATAAATCACTCAAAGTGCAGGAACTCAGCGATGAGTAAATTTATCTAATGTTTTTCTAGGTTTGTCCGGGAAAAATCCCGTATATGAGAAAAGTAAAGATTGGATTCACTCAGTCATTTGGTACTACTCCTAAACTGAGTAAAATTCTCGTCAATTTTCCTCATTTTCCTGTAGATTTTTGAGGTTTTCCATAGGAAAACATGAGGCAAATTTAATCATCGATGAATTCCTGCATTTTTGGTGATAAGGAATGAACTAAACTCCAGTTTGGGTCGTTTTCATTCGCCGTGCAGGGTTTAAGAGGATGGAATTCGAGAAAAAACGGGGAATTTTGTAATTGACTTAAGATTAATTGAGATTCGAGATCTCGAATTTTTTCCATGTTTTAATTCTGATGAGTTTGAAATTTTCGAATTTCTACGAATATTGAATCTTATTTAACACATCTCAGATTCTTAAATTATGTATACTGCCCATAATCGCATATCAGTCCCATATGGATAGGAAATCAAGCAAATATGGGACTGATATGCGATTATGGGTAGTATAGCTCTAATCTGTTGATTTCATGGTATATTTGTGAAAATTCTGTGATGCACATATTATGTCGCGATCTAAGGGGAGGGAGGAGGTTTATGATGTTGTGACAAGCAATGCATAAGGTATCGGAAAAACGTCACGAAAGGGGGAAGGGGGGTTAATTTTTCCTTACTTTAGCTTGACATAATAAATGGATCGCCCCTTTTTTTGTGGGCCAAATCTGAAATTTGCTTCAAGAACGATTTCTCGATTATTTTACAAAATATTCGAATCTTGTTACCTTCAGGATATCAAATAAAACTCTAAGTTAGGCCCCAACATATATTTAAAAAAAATTCCTTCGAACCGGTAATATCAAGTGGCACACCAAATATGTATTGATTTTAGACTTTCTAGCGAAAACTGATGTTCAGCAAAAATTTCCGCGCTAAAACCAACAATATTCCTTACCCAAGCAACACCATTTGTTGCTCAGCGAGTAACAACAACCTTAGTGTGACTTAATGAAGGTCCAAATTATGGACAACGCATCGCATATAAAACTTCATTGTACCTTAAAAAGCGCAGAAGGTGCAGTCTCTTTGCAACTTATGATTGTTGCAAAAGATGTTGCAATTCAGTTGCAAGTAACATGATATTTTGATTACAAAAGTTGCAAATGAGGTTTAGACTGACTTAACTGAAATGTTCTACTGAAGTGTTTAAAACAGTACAGTGATGTTTTCTAATACTTATGATTGATATTCCTGTTTACCAAATAAATGCATTGAAATATTTTTGAGTGGAAATACGGAAAAGAAACACTAGTGTTTTTATCTGGACTGAAAAATCGTCCACGGAGTTGTCAATCATAGCAAAAGTCTTTTGAATAACCATATACAATAATTGACTTTAAAAAACTTCTATCTAGTCCGTATTTTCAAACACATCAAGTTTTATGTTGAAATGTAACATGTTACTCCAATTAAATAAAAGCGCCTTCTGAAAATTTACAAATTGATGCCACAAATTTGCAGCTCAAAAATGTATCGAAATAAAATATTGCTCACCGCAAAAAGAAAATAACTCCAAACTAATGGAAAACATTATAACTGCAATAATTGATTCATGTTATATGTGAATATGGTGTGAAACATGGATAAATTGAATAAAAAATTCATTATATTTTATTTTTGGTGGATAACATATGGCTGCCAGTCTCACCAACTGTGTACATAGCGGGTCAGAATTTTCAGTACATGCATGTATGGCAGTAATTTATTAATGTTTTAAAATTTATCTGTGCGTGTGTGTGTATGTGTGCATGTGTGTAAGTGGGAGGGGGACTCTGAGAGAAACTTTGATATCAATTATTGTAGGAAATTTTTGGTAATCTTTTAATCTTATGACATGATCAAGTGGCTGTTTTGTATTGTGCAGCGTGACATAGTAGCAATGATTTTTGTTCTATTTCACGAGCCCAAAACACCAATGTTGCCTGCTGAGCAGTTTATTTAGCATTATCATAAGACACAGACAAGAATACATGGTCTCATAAAATGGTAT